AATTACAATGACTTCTAGTAAAGAGACTTGTTACCACACTCCCTGGGAATCAGAGCATCTGGCTACATCTGGAGATTAGTTCTGAAGCTGCAAAGCATAGTGTCCATCTTGTTGGGTGCACCTAGAAGTTTCCTACTCAAGTCCTTTTGTGRCYGCGCTGAAAAYCTAAAGGGTTGGGGTATACACGCAATCGGCTGCACAGGAGAGCATCCAGTCGAGCATCCAGAGAAAAGTGTTGCCCCTGTCCCCACCCCAAGAAAAACCCTTGACTGAACACTACTGCAGTGTTTGACAACAACTTCATGAACATTACAAATAAAATGTTATGCAGAGCTGATGTGCATGCAACATGTTGAGTTACACATTTAAGCCATGGTGTTTAAGAAAAATCAAGGGAACCGAAATTACTTAACTTAGCACCCATGAGTCTGAAGTYATGCAGTATTAGCGAGACAAGCTTGCAGCTCTTGATCTTAATGTGACTGGATTCTCAGTGTTCCATCACAGGTTAGGCCATCCCAGATGWCATACAAAGACAATTTGGGCAATTAAACCTGAGAAACCAAAGGGAAAAGAAAAAGGCACACACACAGACAGAGAGCGGGGCTTCTGCGAAGGACGTCAGGGATTTCAGATTTAAGCTCAAGCGCACAGGGGGTTGGTACTTCATTCAGGGGCCACACTCATATTCGCTGACAGCTTCCACAGATGGTTTTGCATTCAGAGGCAGGCGAGATCGAGTGGACAGACGAAAATGATCTGAAACAAAGAGTGATCTACACAACACACCCACCACACAATACTCAAAGATTTGAGGTCAACTCATCTTTTGGTTTAAGATGCAAAGCAGTAGGGCCCTGTGGCCAAAGAGGAATGCTAGTAAAGCATTATTGTTACTAATGATTTGAGGTTAACATAAAGCCAGTTCCAAGATGTAATTCATCAACTACAACATTGCAGAAGTTCATTTTGAAAAGTTAAGCCAGCATCTTACTACATGCTCCAGGTTAGATGACTTCACTCGTGCTTGAACCAGTCTTGCACTCTTATTTCTGTGAAGAGAAGTGCAGGGATACACCCAAGCAAAACCAATAGCAATATAAATTGCTGCAACACATTTGCACTGCATTTCAGACCAAATTGAAGCTGCACCATGCACAGCTTTCCTCAGCTACTGAGTTTTTTTACTTCACGCATTTGCGCGATTTCAGAACTTCATATGAAAAACCTACCACTTGCACAGTTGCACAAGGGCTAGCAGCTGAGGGCTAATCACTTCAATCTATTGATCAAAAAGCAACCTGACTCCCATTGATCTCACTGCATGTTGGTTGAGATGATTCCTGTGTTGTCTTAGGTAGACTGCATTCTTCCTGCAGACTGTTCTGGTCACTCTGTGCTGCTACTCTGCCCTGTGCCTCTGGCTCCCTCTGGTGTACACTCGCCAAAAGCTGCTGCTTCCTGTTCTCTTGGATCCCTGTGCTCCTCCCGCCATGCTTTATGGTCCTGTCCTGCCTGGCACTACTCTGGTCCTCCCATGCCCAATGGTCCTGTCCTGCCCGAAATTAAGGTGGTTATATGAGCTTTGCTTCTTTTCAATCTGCCTTTATGACTGTAGCTTTCCTTTGTTATTTCTTCGAATAAAGCAAAGACTATTACTTGAAAGTAAAAAAAGTTTAAGCGAAATTGTAATGCTAAAAAGTCGCTCGCTCAAGTACAACTCAAAGAATTACAAAAGAAATGAAATTGAATCTCAAGATGCCTGATAGACAGTGGTATTGACTTATGAGTCTAACAGGTCCTAGTGTTTTCTTGTTGTTCAAATGTAAAATTAAAAAAAACATTATATTTTTTATCACAATTGTTTTACAACCACATTGGAGAAAAAACATAAGGAAAAAGCCTCCCCCATAATACCCTTCCCCAAATACAAGCAGTACAACACTACAAGACAATCACTGGTATTACAGTAATCAAAAGTACAACTGCCTTCAGAGGGACAACTGTTTGACTATCAATACAATTTAAAGTGCA